ATGAGTTTTAAGGTATAACATCTGAAGCTTTCTGAAACTATGTGTGTTTAGCATGTGGCTAAAGGGCAATTGTTGGGTTTCAGTTTTATTTGAGATGAATAAAATCTTTAGTTTTTTACTGATAGAATAATTACTTAGAAAGCTGTAGACATATCAGTATAAAAGAATTTGTGGGGGCAGCTGGAGACACGATAACTGGCGCCTGATAACGGTCATGGCCACCTCTTAGCTCAGTACCTGCAAAACAAGCATCTTGTCCCCTCCAGTTTTAACTGATTAGATAGATGCACATTCTCTACCTGCTACTTTCATTTTTAAAAAAGCATAACTCAAACTGTTGTTGTTCATCTTTTTATATATATTGTCAAAGCTGCTGGCTTTTACTCTAAAAGCATACTAAAGTTCACCAAGACACAGGTCTGTCTTAGCCAAGTAGAGCTTTTCTGTTTTGTCCAAACCTCAAAAGGGATTAACTGTTTTTTTTAGTGGACATTGTAGGCTTTCTCGCACAGTTAACCCTGCATGTGTAAGTCAGCTATTCTCCACCTCAACACATGTTAGCCTGCAACATTCTTCTTTTCCATTGGTATTTTCTTGAATGTAGTCACTGATCGTTAAAGTGCTGCTTGTTTCTGTTTTTGTGGACACACCTTAAAAGGCTGGTGTAAATGCAGTGCAAAATGCAAAGGTTATATTGCAGTAGGGAAATGCTCTGGGAAACCTTCATCTTTTTTACTTTTCATGAGAGAGGTTTTATTATAAACTCCTGAACATGTTTCAGCTCTATAAGGCTACAAAGTCACACATTCACCCCATCATAAGCAGATCTCTGCCAAACTTTGAGTTAAATTTAAAAGGATGAAATATAATCGTTTATGCCGCCTCCTCACAAACAGTGGATTTCATAAGCTATTTAAGTCCATGATTATCATTTTGCATTCAACAATTTACATTTCATGAGATAAGCATCCAGCTGGACAGCCTGAATTCAAATATAGAGTGCAGGAACAAACAGCGCTTTTCTCACCTGCTGGACCTATTAATAAAAGCAGCTTTATTTAAAACAGGCTGTAACTGTTTTGGTTTTGTATACCTCATATAGATGCACAAGAGTGAACAGTTTCCTGGTTGTGCCTTTTTTGTTTAGGCTCATTCAGACATCTCAGCTCTTATCACAAAATTATCTTCAGTTGATTGGCATCTGCAGTCTGACCCAAACTTCACCCATGTGCTTTAGCCCTGAGATAACAGCTGCACGAGGAGGAAATAAAGCAGTATTTTCCTTTTAGCTGAATTTTAATAGAAGCAAACATTAGACTAAAAAGTCCCTCTTCTGTGACCTGAAACTTAAAGGTAAAAGAAATGCATAATGTCCCCATCACCAAACTGTTACTAACTAATTGTTTCTATTAACCAAAGCTTTTGCTCTGAGGGCTGCTGACTAAAAGTGAACCAAATATTGTTTTTGTTCATTTACAGAGCCACTAAATATTTATCCTGCATAAAAGGAGACTGTACATAAGCCCCCTCCTTCTGAATTTTTGGAGTCTCATTATTAGCATTTTGCCACAACAATATTAGTGTTGTGAAGCTGGATTTGAACCTATTTCGATAAGATATTAAATACCAGCTAAAACAAACTAGCTTAGTTAGCTAAAAATGGGTATTCCAGTATTTAGCCACATCCTGTCCATTACCATCAAGCTTGACAACAATACTAATTTAATAATTTAATAAAATAATTTAATAAAATAAAGTTTTTTTTCCAAAGGAAAAAAAACTTTATTCAGTTCTACAATCTTTTAAAGACACTTAGCTGGGCCTCAGTCATGCTGAGCTTTGCCCTGTTATTTTAATACACTAATGGTATGTATAACACTTCTGATATATTTTGTATTAAATGGTGCGTTAAAATTTTAATTATATTGAGATTACAGATGATTGTAATCTCAACATTCACATTTCTGACACAAAAAATCATCTTCTACTAAAAATATTTGTGTGTTTCACCAGCACGACTGATGAGCATGACTGTTGCCACGAACAACAACACTACAAAGTCCCACTTGGCATGCTTCCACGAAGATGATGCCTTCAAGTACAGCGCGTACAGATACACATATCTGCTCGTGTTCCCTGTGGCGTTTATCTGCAACATCGGGGCGCTGGCGGTGTTCTTCAGGCAGAGCAGCCGCAGGTCAGGACACGCAAACACAGAAACATGTGCCTCTCTTTTCTTGGTTCTATGCATTGACTTATATTCAATTTACTTTATTCATATATGTTTTAATGTATTTCATATA